TTTGGTGGGGATTTTGACATCTATGTTCTTGAGGGACATTGGTCTGCACCTTTCTTTCCTTGTACTGTCTTTGTCTGATTAGTGTTTGGAGTAATCCTTGCCTCATAAAATTGTTGCAAAGTGTTTCTCTCTCTTCTGTTTTCTGGAAGAGAATGTGAAGAATCGTATTAATTCTTCCCCAAATGTTTGGTAGTACGTGCCAGTGAGACCACTGAGGCCAGGAATTTGCTTTTCTGGAAAGTGTTTTAACTACAAATTCAATTTAATGTTTTTCAAGAATATCAGATGATTTCCACTTCAGTGAGTTTTGGTAGTTTGTGTCTTTCAAGAGTTGGGCCATTCCATTTAAGTTGTCCAATTTATGGGCACAGTGTTTTTTGTAGTAGTATTCTCTTACTATCCTATTAATTATTAATTGATTAAAAATAATCCTATTTATAGTGACATTCCATCATTCATGCTAGATGTCGGCAAGTTGTGTCTTGTCTATTTTTTTCTACCATTAGCCTTTCTAGTGGTTTGTCAATTTTATTGGTCTTTTTAAAGAATCAGCTTTGGGTTTCATTGATTTCTGTTCCTGTGTTTTGTTTCCAGACTCATTGATTTCTGCCCTCTGTTATTATTGTACTGTGCTTACTTTGGGGTGAGTTTGCTCCTCTTCTCCTTGTCTCTTAAATGGAAGCTTAGCTTAGTGATTGGAAACCACTCTTTATTTAAAATGAGTACTTTATGCTCTTCTCTTTCTTCTAAACTCTGCTTTGGCTGCACCCCACAATGTTTAGTATGCTGTATTTTCATTTTTGTTCAGTTCAAACTATTTTCTGATTTTCCTCGAGTCCTTTTTGCCCCATGGATTATTTAGAACTGTCTTGTTTAATTCCCAAATAGTTGAAGATTTTCCATATACCTTTCCAGTAATAGATTTTTACTTAAATTCCATTAGGATCAGAAAAGAAGTGATGGATGATCACTTCTTTTAATTCTTTTAAATTTGTTTAGCTTCATTTTAAAACCAAGGATATGGACTATCGTGGGCAATATTCCATGTGCGCTTGAAAAGAATATGCGTTTTGCTGTTGGTGGACTTTTCTCCATGTGTCAATTAGATCAAGTGTTGATAGCATTGTTCAGGTTTTCTGTGTCCTTGTTGATTTGCCATCCATTTGCTCAAACAATTACCAAGAGAGGAGTGTAAAATCCCAGACTACAGTTGTTGAATTATCTATTTGCCCTTTCATTTCTGACAGTTTTTCCCTCATGCATTTTGAAGCTCTGTGGTTTTGTGCATACACACTTAGGATTACTATGTCTTCTTGGTGAGTTGAACTTTTTATCTTTATGTAATATCTTTCTTTATCCTTGATAATTTTCTTGTTCAAAAGTCTACTTTACCTGACATCTTTTATTGTTCTGTCTCATATGGCAGCCACTGTGGCAGATAGAATAATGCTGCTTTCTCCCAAATTTCAATGATATCCACACCCTGATCCCTGAAACCTGTGAATATGTTACCTTATGGGGTAAAAGGGAGTTTGAAAATGTGACTAAAATAAGTATCTTGAGATAGGGAAATTTTCCTAGGTTATATGGGAGAGCCCGAGGTATTCACAAAGCTTCTTGTAAGAGGGAGACAAAAGGGCCAGAGTCAGTGGTAGGAAATGTGATGGGGGAACCAAGAGGCTGCAGTGATGGAAGGAAGGGGTCAGGAGCCAAGCACAGCAGGCAGTCCCTGGAAGATGGAAAAGGCCAGGAACCATTTCTCATGGCAGAGCCGCAAAAAGCAACCACCCCTGCTGACACCTCAACTTTACCCAGTGACTGATTTTTTACTTCTGACCTCTATCACAGTAAGATGATAAATTTGTATTGTTTAAATCCACTAAATTTGTGATTTGTTACAGCAACAATGGGAAACCTAGACAGCCACTTAAGCTTTCTTTTAATTAAGGTTTGCATAATATATTCATCCTCTTATTTTTAATAAATTTACATTATTGTATTAAGTGAACCTCTGGTAGACTGCATGCAGGTGGGTCTTACTTGTTGTTGTTAATCTAATCCTAATCTCTGCCATTTAATTGTGTTTGCACCATTTATATTTAATGTATTATTGAAAGTTCTTTTAAGGTTTATCACTGTATTGTTTGTTTTCTGCTTGTCCCTATATTGTTTGTTCTTCAGTGTCCCTTCCTTGTCTTCTTTTGGCTTTTTGGAGTACTTTTTAGTATTTCATTTTAATTTATCTGCTGATGTCCTAACTGTAACTCTTTGCATGTTGTTTCTTAAGTGACTGTTGTAGGCATTATAATATACACACCTAACTTCACAGACTCCACAAAGAGTTAACATTTTATGTCTTCAAGAGAAATGGAGAAGCCTTATCCCGGTATAGGTCCTTTCACCCTCACCCCTTCGCGCTGGAGCTGTTCTGTGTGTTACATCTACAGACATAAAAACCCCACCAGACAATGTTAGCAGTTTCGAATTGGACGAAACCAAACATATTTTAAAGAACTTAGAGGAGAAATATATGCTATTACATTTATCTAGATATTTACTATTTTTCACTCTTCATTTATTCTTGAGTGTCCAAGTTTCCCTCTAGAAGTATTTCCTTTCTGCCTGAAGAATTTACCTTATTTCTTTTAGAGCAGGTCTCCTTGTGACAAATTCCCTCGGTTTCCTTTCTCTCAGAATGACTTCATTTTGCTTTCATTCCTCAGGACACATCCAGAAGAATTCCAGGTGTCTCTTCTTGTCTCTCAGAGCTTTCACATCTTCTGACCTGGACGGTTTCTAATGTGAAATCTGTAATCATTCAGATCATTTTTCCTCTGTGTTTCATGGCAATTTTCTCTGGAAATTTGTTTTTTTGGGTTTCACTAATTTGATTATGATTATGATTATGATGTTTGTGGGCAGAGTTTTTAAAGCTCATCCTATTTTGCGTTTGCTGAGCATCTTGGACGTATAAATTTACGACTTTCAATAAATCTATGAAATGGTCAGCTTTTATTTTTTCAAATATGTTTTTCTTCATTAATATCAATCTCCTTTTGCTGCAGGATCAATGATATAATTTATCTCACAGATCCCTGAGTCTGTGTTCATTTTTTTAAAACTTTTTTGCCTCCAACCCGTGCTCTCGCTCAGTGCCTGGAGAAAGAATCCACAGTATGAGATGAAGAGCTCTGCTCAGGGGAGGAAGGGGCAATAAGAAGGCAGAAATGACTCAGAGATTTTGAAGGAAAGTGATGAAGAAAAAGATGGTGCCGACTTATAGAAACAAGGAAGTCAGTGAAGGGAAGTATTTTGAGGGGAAGAAAACCCTCATTCCCAGGTTGGGAGGGAGGGCTGTGATTTCTTCTAAGAAATGGTGATCAGCCCTCTAAGCATCTCCCCAAGCCTCCTTCTCCCCTAGGGTCATCCTCCCTGTGAGGGCCCCATTGGCTCCTCCAGGCACCAAGGCAGAGAGAGGATCAGCCCTCAGTTCTTCAGTCCCTTGCACTTCACATTCAATCGTCACATCCACACCACCACGCCCCTTGAGTCCTTATTAACAATATCACAATCCACCACAAGAGTCAGGAGGTCTCATCTGTGTCATCACATCAGCCTCCTTCCTGGTCTTCCAATCCAAGCCCGCACTCCTTTCTCCAGTTCATTCCTCTCGCTGCCTCCAAAACATTCTTCTAAGAATCCTGTCTGGTCTGATCCTGCCCTGCTCAAAACTCTTCCTACAGTTTCCATCTTCAAAAAAATACAAGTTGCACCATCTGATGTTCAGGGCTGTGAACGATCAGGCCTGAGCTAAACTCACCAGCCCCAGCAAACACAACTCTCCTCCTCAGCCAAACTCATCACAGTTAACCACACACACCTCCAAACACACACACACCACCTGAGCTACTTAACAATTCCATGCCTTCCTCTGGCTGCTCCCTCAGCAAGTCTGCACCTAGCTGACTCCTTTCCAACCTGAAGGACCAAGAAGCCATCCTGTCTCATTCCACTCAACTGGACATGTATTTTGTGTTATAGGTTTGTGCAAGGGTTATATGAGAAAACCACATAAACGACTTCAAATACTGATCAACACACCATCCAGGGGCCAGATTACTGTTGGAGTTTTATTATCAATAGAGCTAATTATCAATAGAGCCTTCCTGCTTTACATTTCTACATGGTGGTAGTCTTTTTAAAACAGAAATATGGGGGCTGGCCCCATGGCCAAGAGTTAAAGTTCCGCACACTCCACTTAGGTGGCCTGGGTTCGCAGGTTCAGATCCCAGGTGTAGACCTACCCCACGCATCAGCCATGCTGTGGTGGCATCCCACATACAAAGTAGAGGAATATTGGCACAGATGTTAGCTCAGGGCAAATCTTCCTAAAAAAAAAAAAAACAAAAAACAAAAAAAAGAAAACCCAGACATATGTTCACACTGTCTGTTGCTTTAAATCTTCCCATTGCTTTAAAAGTAAAATCCAAACTACTTGCACGGTGCTCAAGATCCTGTGTGACAAGGCCCAGCCTCCTCCTCATTGCTCTCAATTCTGAGAACAGCTCAGATCTTTGTGGGCGAGGAAGCCCCCACCACCAGCTCTGGGCTAACCCCTGCTCACGCCTTGGGTCACTGCTTCCCCTAAAAGATCTCTCACAACCAAGGCCCAAGGTGCAGGAAGTCTGTTATTGAATCTCACTGTCCCCTGTTTTCTTTTTTCTTCCAACTTGTATTAAAACAAGACTACAACTGAATTGTTTGCCACCTAAATATTTGTAATCTCTGACTTCATTCATCTGAACCCATGAGCCCAAGGAAAGAATCTGTCAGCTTCATCAATGACCCTCCAGCTCTTGGCACCATGACTGGACATGGTAACTGCTCAGTAAATATTTACTGATTGCCTAGAAGATGAAAGAAAGGAAGAAATTTGCATTTACAGAAGCTCAGCCACAGGCCACAAAGCCCCTATAAGAGGGAGAGTCAGCGTTGGCACTGAAATGGGCTGCCTCCCAGGCCCTGTCCTGCATCGTCCTCTACCCTCATGTTCTGGGACAAGCGTCTCTCTGGATTCATTTGGCATAAGCCATAGAAGCAGAGTGTGTCTGTGTGCAGGGACTCAGATCTGGTCTGGAAGGTCCCCTGGGCCTGAGGTCTCTGCAGTCCCATCCTTCAGGGAGAGCAGAGCACGGCCCTGGGAGGGGCTGTTCCCCTTCCTGTGAGAAACTGCTTATGAGGAAACCATGAAGTGGCACACAGAGACTGGATCTTGTCACACCCCGGTCGTCTGTCTGTCCTTCAGGGTTCTGTGGACTTTATAAGTCGTCTGCACCACTGGGGACCATGGGAGGCAGCATCAGGAACGCAACCCTCTCTGCCCTCCTCTGCCTCGGTGAGCTTTGGGGAAAAGAGGAGGGATAGTGTCTGCTCCCCTCCCAGGTCTTGGTCCCTGAGACCCAGGACTCAGGAGGCTCAGTGGGGGCAGGACTTCTTGGGGGAGGACAGACGTGCTCAGTCCTAGGTCTGACCCCAGTGCTCAGGGTCCCAGACCAGGCCTGGAGCTTCTGTGTGCAGGTTGGGGGATGTGCCCTCACAGGGGACTCTCTTCCAGCGCTGTGTCGGGGCCTGTGGAACCAGGTGCAGGCAGGTGAGTCCTCCCCACACCTCCTGCTTCAGCCCAGTGAACGCCCTGGGCAGCTGGAAGGAGCTCAGAGGGTCTTGGCTGAGGTGACCACTCTGGGAGGGGCCTTGAACGACAGCTGGGCAAGCTGAGGGGAGAAGGGCTCCGCTGACACTTCAGCTCTGATTTCTTTCCAGGAGTCACCCCCAAACCCTCCATCTGGGCTGACCCAGGACCCGTGGTCACCTGGGGGAGCCCTGTGACCATCTGGTGTCAGGGGTCACTGCAGGCTGACGTCTACCATCTGTATAGAGAGGAGGTCTACAGCCCCGTGGGTATAAAGGCCCCACAGGACTCCAGCAACAAGACCAGTTTCTCCATCGAATCTGTGAGCTCACAGACTGCAGGGCTGTATCAGTGTGCCTATCACATCCGCAGGAACAGCTGGTCAGAGCGCAGTGATCAGCTGCGCCTAGTGGTGACAGGTAAGGGGGAGGAGCCGGGTCCCCTCCCACTGTGGGTTCCTCCTCACAGGCAGAAGGAAAGGAGTGTAGGCTCAGGGGACCTCAGCACTCACAGTCCACACCTGGGGTGTGTGGGCTGACAATCGCCTCTTTAACACACCTCCCTCCTTCTCCCTCAGGAATGTACAGCGCACCCTCCCTCTCAGCCCACCCAAGCCCTGTGGCGGCATCAGGAGTGAATGTGTCCCTCTTGTGCAGCTCAAAGAACACATTTGGCACTTTCCATCTGCTGAAGGAGGGAGGAGCTGATCCTCCCCGACACGTGGAATCGAGGATCCATCATTGGAGGGAGCCGGCTGTCTTCCCTGTGGGCCCAGTGAACACCTCCCATGGGGGGACCTACAGATGCTATTATAATCCCCACTCCTACCCATATGTGTGGTCACACCCCAGTGGCCCTCTGCATCTTGAGGTCACAGGTGAGGGGTCCCCTGACCCACCTCTTTCCTGGGACCCCAAAATGGCTAACCTAAGCTTGTATCCAGTGGAGCCCTGGGGGCGATGAGGGTTGGTGACTTGACCTCCTGGGTCCTGAACCACAGAGCAGGATGTTTGGGGGTCGACCAGCGAGAGCTCTCACTGTAGCCCCAGTGGGCAATGTGCGGTGTGCGTCCCCTTCGATGCCACTGTTCCTTCTTTCTAGGCGTGTACAGGGAGCCCTCCCTCTCAGCCCACCCAGGCTCGCTGGTGCTCTCTGGAGACAACCTGACCCTCCAGTGTCGCTCAGAGGCCGGCTTTGACAGATTCGCTCTGACCAAGGATGAGGGACTCACACCCCCGGAGCATCTTCATGGGCGGCACAGCCCTGACTTCCCCTTGGGCCATGTGAACCACACCAACGGGGGCCAGTACAGATGCTACGGTGGACACAACCTCTCCCACGTGTGGTCAGCCCCGAGCGCACCCCTGGACATCCTGATCATGGGTGAGGAGCCCCATGTCCTGATCGTCAGCCCAGGGTGCTGGGCCCAGGGTCACCCCTGGTAGTGATGGGGTCCAGGGAGAGGGTCCTGGAGCAGGGACTGAGATGGGGCCATGGTCTAGGGAGAGGGAGTGAGAAACGGGGAGTGAGGCTCCAGGAGATAAAAGACAGAGGGGAGCTGAGAGGGGGTCACAGAGAGAGTCCTTGAAGAGAGGTCAGTGGTCAAGGGCCTGTGGGGAGGGGGCAGCTCTCTACACACTACAACATTCTCTCCCCAGGGATGTACAAGAAACCCTCCCTCTCAGCCCAGCCGGGGCCCTCAGTGTCCTGGGGAGAGAACGTGACCCTGCGGTGTCGCTCTGAGATCTGGTTCGATACCTTCCATCTGTCCAAGGAGGGGTCACCTGCTCCTCCCCAGCTCCTTCATCTGCAGGACACGGCCGCCCCCTTTCAGGCCAACTTCACCATCGGTCCTGTGACCTCAGACCACGAGGCGACCTACAGGTGCTACGGTTCAGACAGCACCTCCCCCCACCTGTTGTCACTGCCCAGTGACCCCCTGGAGCTCCAGATCTCAGGTGAGGAGGCCCAGTGGTGCCCCTTGTGTCCTCACGGTCAGTTCAGGGTCCTGTTCCCAGGGGAGATCTGGGCTGGGATGGGAGTGAGGGGGTCACAGAAGGCAAGTCAGCCAGAGGGGAACCTCACCTCTCAGAGGGATGGAAAAAGCCAGAGCAACTTCCATTCCTGACTCATCCTCATCCTCATCCCTGAGGTCCAGATACATTTGTGCTGAGTGGAGACAGCTGGGGAGGACTCAGGGCTGACAAAAGGAGAAAAGGCCAGAGGCACCGCCTCCTGATCCTCCTCCAGTGTCCAGTCCTAGAAGCCCCTCACCCAGAGACAGAAGAACGTTGCCTAGAAGAGGCTGATCCCCAGGGGCCCAAGACGACCCGCCCTGACATGGCTTGTCTCCCAGGGGGGCTGAGGTGGGCAGAGATACGGGGAGCCATGGGGCTTCAGGGGCTGTGAGGCTGGGCGGACAGCAGATGGAGCATCATGGCAGAGGGAGACGTTGGCACCCAGCCGGGGGCAGTGGCAGCCAGGCTGAAGTGAGGAGAATGGCAGCCCCCCTCACCTCCCATCCTGATCTGGCGGTGGCTCTGAGAATCGGCCCCTCACCCAGAGTCAGGCACAAGGAGGGGTAGGTGAGGGTCTCTGTGGGGAGGCGGTGCGTGGGAGGGGCTCAGGTCTGGTCTTGGCTCAGTCCCTTTCTGAGATGGTGACCTGAGGAAAGTTCCTCCTTCTCCTTGGGACCAGTTTCTCCGATTGCGCGGTCCAAGAAGGCTGCGTGGACAGAGTGTGGGGACAGAGACGGTGTCTGAGCTCTCCTCCACACGCTCAGGGGCGCAGCCCGTCCAGGAGGAGCCGTGGAGTTGGGGCAAGGACACCCCCGGGTTCAAACCCCAATGCTGCTACTGCCCACCTGTGGGACCTTGGACGAAGCACACTGCTCTCCGAGCCCGAGGGTCCTCTCTGCACAGCAGGCCTCCACCATGCCCCTCAGAGAGAAAGCCCTCAGCCTGGGGCCTAGCCCCGAGAGCTCAGGGAGGACAGCCCTCCCTCCTGCCCTTCCCAGACGCACACACTCCATGTGCACACAGGCCCCCATTGTGGGTGCCAGCCCTCTGCAGAGTAAGGGACGGACGTGGGCTGGGAGAGGGGGGTGGGGGAGGGATTGTGTTTGCAGGACAGGTCTCTGCCTCGTGTTCTGCCTGGAGAGTAAGGGCACAGCATAAAAAATGATAATAGAAAACAAGGGAACCCACCATTCTGGATTCCAGTCCCAGCTCTGCCACTTCAGGCTGGGTGACCTGGGCACATGATTTACCTCTCTGTGCCTCAATTTTTTTCATCTGTAAAGTAGGTGGTTTGCAGATGCTGCACGACTGTTCCAAGGGTTAGAGATGAATGCACAGACCCTAGCACGTGTGTGGCACACAGTACGTGCTCAATTAAACGTCATCATTGGCCTATGTGTGTCGTCACTCATGCCCAAGGTTTCAAGTGGTACCTGAAGCCTCTGATCTGGGTCTCAGTGGCCTTTGTCCTGTTGCTCTCCCTCCTCCTCCTCCTCCTCCTCTTCCGGCACCGGCGTGAGGGCAAACACAGGATGTCGGGTGAGTAGGGAACAGGGTGACCCAGGTCACAGGAGGACGTGGGCTTAGTGAACCAGCCAGAGGGAAGCCAAATAGAAGGGAAAGTCAGCCTAGAAAAACATTTTTTGCAGCATTTCCCAGTGAGAGAAAAAAGAACTGATTAATGTCAACATACACACCTAAGTATTCTGGAGTATTCTTTCAGCTTCTTCACTTATGAAATGTCTGGAAATACATACAAGTTTAGCTTTTTTATCATTTAGAACTGCTTTCTTTTGAATTCCATATGGCGGTGGGAGGGAATTACCACCTTTTCAGTTCTTGGACCCTCCGCAGATCTTAATGCGGCCCTAGGGGAGGGTTCTGGATGGGTTGGAAGCTGATTTCCAACTTCCTGCAGTGGCTGCAGCGTCAGCGCCTGAGGACAAAGGCCTGCAGAAGAGGTAAGACCTCTCCTGAAGACCCCCAGGCTCCCACCCCATCCCGGGGCCCCTCGCTGCCTCCTAACACTCCTGTCTCCTCCCCCAGCTCCCGCCCACCTGCTGAGGTCCAAGAGGAGAACTTGTGTAAGGGGACGAGGGGCTGTCCTTGGGGAGATGGGCCCAGAGAAGGGGGCAGTGGAGACTGGGGATTGGCTGGAGGGGGTTCTGGTCTCGGGGGTGAGAGTGCAGGAACCTGGTCCTATGCGGCCTTAGCCAAGTCACTGACCGTCTCTGGGTCATGCCATGTGAGATTTCAGGGACTCTTGGCAAAAGACGGGATCCACTTATTCTGTCCCCACCAGATGCTGTCATAAAAGACACAGAGCCCGAGGAGGACAGACAGCTGGACATTCAGGTGAGCTCCCTCTAGTCCTGACCAGGACACCTACATCTCCTTGTTCACACCCTAAATCCAGTGGAAACTTCTCCCTCACACCACTCAGCCTTTGCAGCGTCTCCCTTCTGGAAGCACACGGCTATCTCCAGCTGCTGCAACCTCACGCTCTCCTTGGTCACCTATGCTGGCCTCCTCTGACCTTTGAGCTCAGGTGGAGCTGGCAGGATGAGGGTTAGGGCTGAAAAGTCTGTGCCCTGCCCAAAGGGGCTGAAACCCAAGCCCTGGGCCTTTTAAATCCGCACAAAGGGTCCTATAGCCCAGCTCAGCTCTCGGTTTTCTGTTCATTCTCTTTCCCATCTGTCCCACGGTTGTGTCAAACCCACTGGGCCTCCAACGTAATGCAGGTGAAGATCGGCTCCTTACACCACAGCAGGATCAGCCAGCTCACCCCAGTGAATAATCTAACTCCCTTGTAGGGGTGCTTGGGGTCTGACTGTCCTTTCATGTTGCTGGCTCCATGGCCAATTCCTGTCTCCAGTCCTCTCATCAGCACCAGACTCACACTTCCAACTGCCATCACAGGCGTTGAAATTTCACATCCATCCTCCCCCAGACCCCAAAAGACACAGACTGAAGGAAGGCAAGGGTAGAATCGAAGAGCCCACCCCCACCGCCACTCACTGACTCTAGTAGGGCCCTGACGACGACCCCCAGAGAGTGTTTTTCCTCCCCATAGCCCTCCACCCCAACCACATGCCTTCCTCTCGCCCAACTCTAGGCTGTGACATCTGAAGACACCCAAGACGTGACCTACGCCCAGCTGAACCACCTGTCCCTCAGACGGGAGACAACTGCACCCCCTTCCTCCCCGTCAAGGGAGTCCCCTGATGAGCCCAGCATGTACGCTGCTCTGGCCACCCACTAGCCCAGGACAAGACGCAGACGCCACACTCCGAGGAATGGGCCTGCAGAGACCCCAAAGGGCACTGGAGCTACCCCCAGGGACACCGATCTAATGAACTCCAGCCCCTTGGAGACTTGATGTGGGCTTCTGGGACCTTGCTGCCTGGGATTCCACCAACATTACAAAATTGATCTTAGTCCCTACTAAGGGACCCCAATGACTGCAGGGATCCCATGGAACTGCTCAAGGCCATATCACACAAATAGCAACCTTGGAGCGGGAGGGGGGAGGGCCTACCGCCCAGTCCTTCAGCTCAAGGACTGGAGTCTTACGCAGGCTTCACAGCAATTTGGCAGCTTCAAGGGATCTCTGTGAAGCTGGGTGGGCACTTTAACTGAGCTGAGCCCAAATGCCCCCAGACAGGGACCGACCACAGCGTGCAGGGGAGGGGCTGCAATCGCTTAGGGGTTGCTCAATTCCAAGTGTTTCACATTTCCTGAGACCAAGCCCCTTCCTGAGGCTTCTCAAGACAGCAGAGAAAAGGGAAGCCAAGCCTGCTCCCTCTGATCATGTGTTCAGAAATTCCAAATGCGGGGGTGGGGGGGTCCTGTTGGAGGGAGCCATATATGTCCCCAGCTAGTCCCCACTAATCTGGACTTACTATTTCCCACTTCACTGAACTCACATCTTAGGAATAAAACCAGGAACTTGCCCATCAACCACACCCTAAGCTTTGAAATCAGCCTACAGGTTTCATCAAATGTTCCCCACCAAAAATGCAATTAAAGTATTTCATCTTCACCAGCAACTCCTCCCTGGTGGGCTATCCTTGATGGGCTCAGTCAGAAAGCCAGGGCTCAGGGTTAAAGGGCCGGAAATCCAGGCTGGCCCTTACCTTCACTTGCTCCTTCCTCTGCCTGAAAACTCCTCCCCACCCCCACATGTAAATGGTGGGCTGAGAATTTCCTTTGACTCAAAGAACTTTTCCCTAACACTTCTCCCAGCTGTGATATGAAGTGGCATGTAAAGATGCTCTTTTGTTCACTACAGTAGCCCTCCCCCAAATGGACAAGGACCACCATCTAGTAGGCAGTCACAAGTATCTGAACACAGAGACAGCCAGCCCCTTGCAGCAGGAGGCGACACTCGGAAGGTACGACTAGGCTTGAGGTAACCTGGTCAGGGACCCACCGGAGCTGCTTCTCAGTGCAGAAGGCGCTGTGCAGAGCGGAAGGGAAAGACACCAACAAACACCAGCTCCAAAGCGTTGATGCTGCTTTATTATCCGACTGGAAAACTAAACACTCCACCAGCCCAGCAGAGGCTGTGGGCTTAATCCTCCTCCTCATCATCACCAGCTCCGGCCCCGCCCTGGCCCTTCTTGGCATTCTTCCTCTTCACGCGGCCTGGGCGGCCACCCCCATATGGAGAGCGCAGAGAGAAGTCGATGTGCTTCTGGGAATCCAGGCGGACGATGAATGATGGGATGTTCACCACCTGCTTGCGGACCCTGGGGGGCGGGGGGTGGCAGGTGAAGGGGACTGGAGGAAACAGGACCCCACGCCAAGACGAGACCCCACTCTACTCTTCACTTGTGCTTTGCAGCTGGTATGGCTGGTACGGCTGGTACTACAGCTGCAGTGACTTGAGCGCCGCCAAGGGGCATTCCTGATCCTGTGGACTCCCGTGCTGCTCGGGGGGGTTTTAGGGCATCACCCAACTCACAACCGCTTTGAGACAAGTTTTTTGTTCACATTTTACAGGAGAGAGAAATTCAGAGGTAGCCCACCGAAGACCACAAAGCCAATGAGGTGAGGTGGCAGCGTGTAAACTCAAACTCATGGGTCACAGGGCTAGTGAAGGGCTGAGGCAGAAATTCAGTGTGCAAATATACCTTGCCCTCTTACTGCAACTTCCCCCAAATGGTGCCCATTTTACAGAAAGGGCAAGTTGAGTACCCAAAGACTCATGTGCCCTCTGATCTCTTCATTGCCACCCTGACCAGCCAGGCTCCTCCTACAGTCCCTGGCATTCGAGTGTCAGACCCTGGACTGTGGGGAATGAACTCGCCAAGTTCAGTCTTCACAACACTGCACTTCCCAGTGAAGTGCAAGAATGCAATGATGATGAGGGTTTGGAATGACTTCACAAGGGGGCCCAGTAGAGAGCTGAACCCACACAAGCCAGTCGCAGCCCAATGACTTCTCTCAACAGGCAACACCAAGAGCTGTTACCTGTCCAGCTGCCTGCACGCCTGGTAGAAGCCTTCGCAAGGTGTACGGCTCAAGCCGCAGTGACCCTTGCGCTGGGCTATGGGGGGATGAGGCTGCCCCCAGATCCCCCACGAGCTGTTCGCAGGGGGGCAGTCTGTACCCTCAAGGGGAGCTCACACCTTTGTCACCTCCAAGGGCTGCATAGAAGATAGGGACGAGCAGGCTTAGTGAGGGGAACCATCAGAAGGGATGGAGTAGGGGAGGACTCAGGGAGCCCATCAGAGCTGGTACCTGATGTGGCGCTGGCGGATCAGCACGCGGGCGTGGTGGATAGACTTGGCCAAGCCCAGCTTGAAGACCTGGGTCTGCAGGCGCCTCTCCAAGAAATCCTCTATCTTCAGACCCAAGATGTAATCCAGCTTCATCTTGCCCTCGTCCAGCACCCCGATGCGGACTAGTCGCCGCAGCAGAGCATTGCCTGATAAGAGGGGAAGGAAGCACTGATTTGGGGTTCTGGCTGACCTCAGACTTCTTTGAGTGCAAATCCTCCTCCTCTTAGTAGCGCCATATCATGGTCGTCAAACGAAGTGGGAAGTCAGAGCTAATTTGATACAGAACTCAATGTACGAGCCACTGGGAGACTCAGGTAATCCTCACATCCCCTAAGGCACATTACTGATTATATCCACTTTACCAATGGGGCCAGGTGACTACCCACCACTGCGTTATCACCTGAAAAAAGGAGAACTTCCCTCAGAGTTGACAGGAATAAATGAGATAACGCCCTTCAAAGGACTTGACACTGGGCTGAAAAAAGTTTAAGACTGGGCATGTTTAAGCTCAGTATGTCATTCATTTAACCATTTTTTCTGTGGGAGCTTCCACTAAAAAAAAAGACGGCGTGTATATAACCTAACAATGCACGGCATAAGTAATCCAGCAGATGTCAGCTTCTATCTTTAGTCCGACAACCGCAGGCTCAGGAGGCCTTGCCCAGGGTCAACCGAAGCCCATGGTTCCAAACACTACTCTGCCCTGCCCCTGGGATGGTGGGGACAAGCCCCTATGAGCAGGCTCACTGTGCTCATCTCCACACAGCCTCATAATCAACACCCTGACAGTGGGGTGAAAGCCCAAAACGTTCTTCCTTAGAAAGGATTAGTTTCACTTTTCGTGAAGTGTCGTCTTATCTTCAGTGACAGCAAAACAAAATCCAAGCACACTTCATAAACAATGGACCAGCATTACTGGGCTTGTCCAATATTCCCGGCACCGTTGTCCCCCAGGGGAAGCATGAAGGAAAGGTGGCTGCCTTTGTGAAGACAAAACCTCCTGGCAGAGTGAACGGAGGGAGGGGGCTGGAATCACAATGAGACACACGTTACACCTTTCCCAGCGCCCCAAACGGCAACATGGCCCCATTCTTTGCTCTAATGAATGCTGAACTTAAAGACTTAATGATATTCCAATATTAATACAAAACTATATCCAAAGGTAAATATAAATGAGTTTGGGATTATCTACAAGTTTGGACATAGCGTGCCTTTTTTCCTTACAGTAGAAAATAGAAATCTGACAGTAATTCAAAGTTTAAAACCTTTTAGAGACTCTTGATAAAATAAAACCACTATTATTAAAAAAAAAAAAACTATTTCACATTTACTATTACCCATCTATATCCTTAAAAAAGAACAATGAGGAAGGGTCAACTATTCCATCAATATAGGAAAAGCCCTATCAGATATGAACACAAAATTAATTTTCAATGCACACTGACAAACTTATCTTCAACAGGAGCACGTCCAATGACTGAAAACGGTGACAGGGCCTCCACTTGGCCAAAGCACTAACAATCACATTTTACAAATGCCAACCAGTGGGCACCGCTGTGGCAAAGAGTCCTGGTCGTTATGGCAGGCGGCAAGCATTGCAGTGCCTTAGTTTCTGACCCGAAAGATGGATATAACACCTGTCCTTCTTAAGCTGCTGTGAGGATGGAGTTCATACCTCTAAAGTGCCTGAATGAACCGCCAGCCAAATGTTGGCTGTAGTGAGAATGAGTCTTTCCAACAGATGAGACTCACAGAACCTTCTTGCCCAGAGTCGCACACCTCAGTGGGAAAGGCCCGGCTGTACCAGAGGCAGAGCTTGCAAGCTCCTTCCTGTCCTGCGCCTGAATGGCTTCACTTACTAGAAAGTGTACTACCTGAGCTGCTGCCTTCCCCTTGCTGCTTCCACTTCTGCCCTGGAAAACCACAAATCATCCCTGGACACCTGCTGCTCAAGCCCGCTTGGGTCATCTCTTTGCCGCATGATGGGTTATCATCTAACTGCAGACTTGAACAAGTTTCACTGTGATTAGCTGTCTCTTCAGAAAGTCCCCCAGACCAGAACCAGCAGGCGCCTGGCCTCACTCCGGGAGAAGGCCCCACCCAGCATCAGCATCCGTGGGGCAGCAGACTCTGGAACTTTGATGAGACTGTCAAAGGGATTCGTTTATGAACAAAATAAGAATGAACACCTCTAACATTCATGAGCCTAGAACAGATCTAAATGCGATAAATTTGTAATGGTTAAACAGCACCAAGCCTTTCTTGACCTCTGATGCAGACAACCACTCACGCTTAACAAGGCTCAGGTGTACAAGCACTTCCTTCCTTAGTCATGGGTTGGGAGGAAAATCACACTAGTAACCTGACTGAAATTTAAGAAAACCCAGGTGCCTGAGGGAGCCAGGCCTCCCGACTCCCAGCCCCTCTGCTTTTCACCACAAACCAAGATTCCCTAAGCTCAGGCCACAAGTGCTATCTCAAGATGACAGCTGTGAGGTGGCATATTTCACTGGTAACTAAAAACAAGTTTCAGGCACTTTAAATGAGTAAATTGTAAGATACGTAAATTTTATCCCCATAAAAGCTGTTAAAAAGGAAACAAGTTACAGATCCATCGACAGCCCGACTTCACAGCTGTCGGAACTACAAACTGTACACACATCTCTTCCACACCCAGGACACACTCTCACCAAGTTAAGGAACTGCTTAGTTTACTTCTTACATTTAAGAGACTGTTTCAACTTTTGGTTCCATTCCCTAACGTTCCTCAAAAATCATCTCATTCCATCCCTGTCACTGAGTTCACCTGGACTCCAGAGCCTGCCCTCCGTCCCACTATGGTGGGAGGCCTCTCCAACCATTTGCTAACGGGTAACACAGTGATACAACTACCCCTACAAGGCTGTCATGCACGTGAAGAGCTTAGCAAAAGACATTCAGCAAATCCTTACAAGACATCGGCTATTTTAATCGCACCGCCACCTCACAACCTCAGAGGCACTATTAAAATCTGAGTGTGATCATGCCAATCTTTGCTCTAGAAAGCCCTCCATTAATTCCCCCACCTCAAAATTGAAATTTAAGACTTTAAGAGAAGAAATCTTAAAAAAAAAAAAAGACGGTAAGTTCTGTTATATAACGTGTATCTTACCACAACCTTTTTTAAAGCCTCAAGTTGCTATATAACCTGCATCCCCTCCCTGAAATGTTCTTCCCTGAGACATGCACAGGTCCCCTCCAGTTCAGGCCTCTGGAGACGTCACCTCAATGTGCCTGACCACCTTATGAAAGCAGGCAATGTACACCCCCGAGCCCCCTCCCTGCTGGCACCACCAGACACTTCAGAAACTTCCAACAGGACACTTAAGGAGAACTGCTCTGCTCCATTTTCCACGGCTACAGCCAGGTGCCCAGGCTTGCCGGACATTATGAATCCTAATTCTAGTCAAGAATAAATCTAAGCTCCGAAGTCACACACACGAGGAATAGGGCAGAGATTTGGATCCAGACTCACTTTCCTACCTCACGATTCCCACTGAACTCCCAGGTTTAAAAGCTAGCTCCACCCGCTCAGTGTGACACCTCCGATCACCGGCCCAGCGGGCCTGGCAGAACCGCAGCCCCTCGCCCCTCTCCTGCGGGCTCGCACGCACCTTCAAACAGCCGCCGCGGGTCTTTCTCGTCCAGCGTCAGCAGCTCCCGGGCGGCCTTGCGGATCTTGGCCAGGGTGAATTTGACCCTCCAGACCTCACGTTTGTTCCGGAGCCCATACTCGCCTGCAGAGAGAACAGGGGAGTTGACGGGAAAACCAGCTGAGTCCCCCGGACGCGTGCAAAAGCCGGACTGGCGGCTTCGGGACACTGAAAATCTTCCCAAACCACGAACGGTCCCGAACTTGAGGGAGACGGAGGGAGACAAGCTGGAGGACCCGAACAGAACCAGCACGTGCGCGGCCTGACCCACGTGCCGGGCCTCCCTCGACCCGGAAACCCTGCCCTGGCCACACACCGATCAGCTTCAGCTCTTGGTCGAGGCGAGACTTCTCGAAGGGTCTCCGCGGGGTCACATAGGTTTTGCGACAAACCCAGCTCCGGGCCACCGGCATGTTTGCCCCGCTCGCCTGTTTGCGCCTGCGCAGAAAGGAAAGCTAAGCTTGAGTTCCGGTGGCGCCTGCGCAGTCCCACAACTACGTTAGAACCTCGTGGAGCCCAAAGATCATCTCGCGAGAACCGTCCCTGAAAGTTTTATAATTAGTGTAACTCAACCACCACGTTGCGGCCTTGTCCAACCACCCTCACCTCACCCCCAAACTCTTTACCGTACTCTTCAAAGCTCACAAGACCCACGCGACCGTACAAGCCACAAGCAGATTAGAAAGCAAGGCTGCACAACCCACCTGAGCGCAACCCCTTGTAACCGAGAAAAAGAAACGCCACAGCCCCCGCCGCGCTCTTATAGAAACGCCGCCGTTTCGTGACGTCATCACGCACGGCGAAGACCTGCACCAATCAGAAAAGGCGTTGACGGGCGGAAAAGCAGTCGAGACGAGAGGTTGGGCCAGAGTGGCGTGCTAAACTGGGAGGACCACTTCTCTTCCAGACCCGGGCTCGCGGAGCCGGTGACTTGAGAAGAGAAGAGCCTTTTCTGCTCCCGGGCGGTGACTTAGTCCCGCCAACTAACCTCTGAGTTCGGTATAATGGATTAGTAGACCCTCTAGACCGCAGCCTTCTCCCATTCCGTGAAAAGACCCCCAGGGCGTTTAGACTGATTGTTACAGGGGTTCTTGTTTGCCTTCCTGCTTGTTACTGGAGAGAGCAGTTTGACGTCCTGCCATAGCCGGCTGGCTTCCTGTGCAGTTTATTACAGATAAGGGGGCTGGTTTCGGGGGCAGGATGCTGCAGGTTGTGGGTTAAGGTTCCGTTGTCATATAGGGTCTTGTTACTGAGCAAGGGCTGGCCACCCAGTGTGCATAAAGAGCCGCTTATTACAGCATCAGCCTTTGGGAAAAGAAAAGTAGCTTTATTTGCGAGATCTATCTGCGAGGAGACAGGAGGCATGGGCTCTCAGATCTGTCTCCTGATCCGGGGCTTGGGGCAAAATTTATGGGCTGACGGGCATAGGGGTCTGAAGTGTGGAGTTAGATGATTGGAGGTAAGGAGAGGTGAGGTAATTCATGAATCTGCGCGAGCATAGTCAAGCTTCATGGGTCTTCACAGGACTCATGTTCCCAAAATGGTGGTGGTAGTATGATCTGAGGGTGGAGTTTTCAGCCTTTTGACATCAAAAAGGTCACTTATCAGGCATTTGCTCAGGCCCAATTGATGGGTTGATGGTCTCAACTGTCCTGAACTGGACAAGGGGTCTCAATTCCTAAAAAAACACTCTGATTACTCAGTTGACGAGATGGAATCAGTGCAATTGGTCCTAGAGGGCTGATGATTACAGCCTGTTCATTGCCTGTATGTGCAGTCTCTCAACAACTAGAGCTCCGGCCAAGGTCGCAGCTGGGCCGTCTGGCTCCATAGCGTGTGCCGTTCACCACTCCTTTATACTGTTGCTCACCCGGACACTCAGCTGTATTACCTCCTCAGAGGAGCAGTTCCACTCACTCCTTTCTCCACCACATCACCCTGCTCTAGCCAAGTGCCCGGGTTCAAATCTGGCAGTCACCACTTGCTAGCTGCAATACCTTGGACAAGTTTCTCAACCGTTCTGTGCCTCAGCTTCCTCATCTATAAAATGGGGGTGATGGCAGTGTCTACCTCAGAGGGTTACGGTAACGATTAAATGATGCAGCCTCTGCAAAGTGCTTAGGATGGTGTCTGGCACAAAGAAAGCGCTCAGTGTTAGCTAACATCATCATCATTCTCTTCTTTGTATTTCTAGATCTTTCAAACTACCTTGTTCATTTTTGTTTTCTTGTTTACCGATTAGTTCCCGAAAAAGTTATAGAATAGGGACCACCCTTATCTTTCCTATTTATTAGTCTCTTAGCATAGGCCCAATATATAGTTGATAGTCAATAAATTGTTAAATGTATGAATAACTAGTAATGTGCATCATCTGTAGATTGGAGGTTCTCATGCTCCCCTCGTCGAGTTGGACTAATTTGAAAAGCAACTCACAGAACTCAAAGAAACATTTTAATTACTAGATTCTCAGTTTATTATAAAAGGATATAACTCAGGAACAGCCAGATGGAACAGATGCATAGGGCGGGGTATGGGGAAAGTGCAGAGCTTCTGTGCTCTCTCCAAGTGCGCCACTCTTCCACCACCTTCATGTGTTCACCAACCAGGAGCTCTCAGAACTCCGTCCTTTTGGGTTATTATGGAGGCTTCGTAGTCAGAATTGATTGAATCATTGACTATCGGGAACTGATTCGACCTCCAGCCCTTCTGCCCTTCCCAGAGGTCGGGGGGCTGGGACTGAAAGTTCCAACACCCTAATCAAATGCTTACCTCCCCTGGCAACCAGACCCCATCCTTTGGTGCTTTCCAAAAGTCACCTCATTTACATAAACTTAGGTGTAGTTGAAAGAGATTCGTTAAGAATATCAAGACACCTTTATCCCTCTTATCACTTAGGAGAGTCCAAGGGTTTTAGGAGCTGTGTTAGAAATGAGGACCAAGAGGGCCAGCCCAGTGGCAGAGTGGTTAAGTTTGCACACTCTGCTTCTGCGGCCCAGGGTTTTGCCACTTCGAATCCTGGATGTGGACCTAGCACTGCTGATCAGGCCATGCTGAGGTGGCATCCCACATAGCAGAACCAGAAAGACGTACAACTAGAATGTACAACTGTGTACTGGGGGGTTTTGGGGAGAAGAAAAATAGAAATGAGGACCAAGACCAAATATATCTACTAATAAGTCACAATATCACATTTGTGATAAGTAGTAAAGCAAATAAATCAAGAAGGTAGGAGCGTGCAGGAGGGGAGTTAAATTTTAAGGTAGGGTGACCATGGACGGCCTCAGAAGGTGATGGTGAAGGAAAGACCAGCTGGCAGGGAGGGACCAGACCATGTGGCCATCCTGGGGAGGAGCATTCCAGGAAGGGTAGTGGGAGTATGGAATGGATGGGGTCAGGATGAAAGAGGAACCTGCAGTGCAAGGCCTTTCCTTTTACTTCAAGATGGGAAACCATCAGAGAGTTTTTACAGAGGAGCGCCATGGTCCGACCTACGTTTTAACCAAATTATGCCAGCTGCTCTGTTGAAAACAGACGATAGAGGGGCAAGAGTGGGAACGAAGCTGAGTTAGGAGGGTATTGCAGTCATCCGAGTGAGTGACATCGTGGCTTTTGCCAACACATTGGCAGTGAAGATGGAGCAAAGTGGTCAAATTCTGGGTCTACAGTGCTTGAAAGGTATCACCCACAGGATTTAGTGACCAATTGGGTATAGGAACACCAGTCATAATTGTGTGTGTGTGTGTGTTTTTTAGAGCAGTTTTAGGCTCACAGCAAAATTAAGAAGGTACGTAGATTTCACAAAGATCCTCTGCCCCCACACACGCGCAGCCTCCCCATTATCCACATCCCCCACCAGAGTGGTACATTTATTACCTGTCTTGACACATCATTATCACCCAAAGTCCATGGTTTACATTAGGGTTCAGTCTTGGTGTCGTATATTCCATGGGTTTGGACAAATGTATAATAACATGTACCCATCTTTTTTTTTTTTTTTAAAGATTTTACTTTTTTTCTTTTTCTCCCAAAGCCCCCCAGTACATAGTTGTGTATTTTTATTTTTAGTTATGGGTACTTCTAGTTGTGGCATGTGGGATGCCGAGTCAGCATGGCTTGATGAGCAGTGCCGTGTCCGCACCCAGGATTTGAACTGGCGAAACCCTGGGCTGCCGAAGCAGAGCGCGCGAACTTAACCTCTCGGCCAGGGGGCTGGCCCCTGTATCCATCTTTACAGTATCATACAGGGTAGTTTCACTGCCCTAAAAATCCTCTGTGCTCTTTCACTGCCCTAAAAATCCTCTGTGCTCTGCCTGTTCATCTCCCACCCGCCTCCAGCCCCTAACAACCACTCATCTTTTTACTGTCTCTATAGTTGTGCCTTTTCCAAGATGCCATACAGTTGGACTCATAAAGATGTAGCCTTCAGATTGGCTTCTTTCACTTAGTAATATGCATTTAAGCTTCCTCCATGTCTGTTGAAGCCTTGATAGCTCATCTCTTTTTGGCACTGAGTAATATTCCATTGTCTGGATGTACCACAGTTTATTTACCCATTCACCTACTAAAGGACATCTTGGTTGCTTCCAAGTTTTGGCAATTATGAAAAAAGGTGCTATAAACATTATGTGCAGATTCTTGTGGGGTCCTAAGTTTTCAAATCCTTTGGGTAAATACCAAAGAAAGTAATTGTTGGATCACATGGTGAGAGTACATTTAGTTTTATAAGAAACTGCCAGACTCCCTTCAAAGTGGCTGTACTAGCAATTCCCAGCAGCAATGAGAGAGAGGCCTACTGCTCCACATCCCTACCAGCACTTGGTGTCGTCAGTGTTCTGGATGTGGGCCATTCTCATAGGTGTGGAGTGGGATCCCATGGTTAATTTGCATTTCCCTGATGACATATGACGTGGAGCATCTTTTCATATGCTTATTTGCCATCTGTTTATCTTCTTTCATGAGGTAACTGTTAAAGTCTTTGGCTTATTTTTTAATCAGGTTGTTTGCTTATTGTTGACTTTTAAGAGTTCTCTGTGTATCTTGGACAACAGTTCTTTATCAGAAAATATTTGCAAGATTTTCTCAAGGCTTTCAATTTTAATGAAGTCCAGCTTATCAAGTCTTTCTTGCATGGATTGTGCCTTTGGTGTTGTATCTAAAATGTCATCACCAGGGGCTGGGCCGGTGGCACAGCAGTTAAGTTCGCACGTTCTGCTTCAGTGGCCCAGGGTTCGCCAGTCCGGATCCCAGATGCGGACATGGCACTGCTTGTCAAGCCATGCTGTGGTAGGCATCACACATATAAAGTAGAGGAAGATGGGCGCTGATGTTAGCTCAGGGCCAGTCTTCCTCAGCAAAAAGAGGAGGACTGGCAGTAGATGTTAGCTCAGGGCTGATCTTCCTCAAAAAAAAGAAAAAAAAAAAAGGTCGGGGCTGGCCCCGTGGCCGAGTGGTTAAGTTCGCGTGCTCCGCTGCAGGCGGCCCAGTGTTTCGTTGGTTCGAATCCTGGGTGCAGACATGGCACTGCTCATCAAACCATGCTGAGGCAGCGTCCCACATGCCACAACTAGAAGGACCCACAATGAAGAATGAAGAATATACAACTGTGTACCGGGGGGTTTTGGGGAGAAAAAGGAAAAGAATAAAATCTTTAAAAAAAAGTCATCACCAGACCCAAAGTCATCTAGGTTTTCACCTAAGTTATCTCCTAGGAGTTTTATAGTTTTGCATTTAACATTTAGGTCTATGATCCCTTTTTTTTTTTTTTTTTTTTTTGAGGAAGATTGGCCCTGAGCTA